GCCACTGTTGGTCAATCCATCTCATTGAGGGTTTTACATGTTACATTTTACATATACCAAACCAAAAGCAAACCTGTTGCTGTCGAGTTGATTCTGACTCATAGCGACCCTATAGGCCAGAGTAGAACTGTCCCATAGGGTTTCCAAGGAGCGGCTGATGGATTCGAACTGTCGACCTTTCGGTTAGCTGCCAAGTTCTTAACAACTGCACCACTAGGGCTCCATTTTACATACAATGGTATGTAAAAGGTGAATGTCCACAATGTGCTAATTTCTAACAAAGGATCAATAATGGTACCTACTGCATAGGGATGTGGTGAGTATTAAATGAGAAAATATGCATGTAAATTGATTAGTACACTGGCTGGCTCAGAGTAAGTGCTCATGTTTACTTTGGTTGCTACTTCCTCGGAGCACAGGGGAGGGAACAACTAACTGTGCTTGAAAGAGGTGGACAAGATCTCACAGATGAGCAATGTGAGTTTTAAAAGATGAGTAGGTGTTCATTAAGCACAGACATCAGGGGATGGCTAGTCCAGGCAAAGGGAGCTGTGTAAGAAGGCACAGAAGTGCTAAGAACATGGCATGTTTCAGGAACTTTAGTTGCTCGGTATGGTTGGAGGATACAGTACATAGGGAGAAAGGGGGAATGTTGGCAAATTTGGAGGGGAGCAGGGAAGGTTGCACAGAGAAGGTGACGTTTGGACTGGGTCTTGCTGCATAAGTATGAGTTTTCTAGGCATATACAAAAACACAAAAAGCATATACAAAGGCACAAAGATATAAATGTGTATGAAATATTTGGAAGACTATCTGCTGTGGCTGGAGCTCTGCATTCAAGGAAACACATCTCCCACTCAGAAGTGTTAGATGTATTTGGGCATGCTTGGTAGACTGGTGGGGTAGGCACCCTGATGTCGGTGTGCATGAGGCTTTTGGTAGGGTAATGGAAGCAGTCCATGTGGACCAAGGGGGAGAAGGACTAGGAGGACAGTCCTGTGTCTGTCTTGGAGGCTTGTACTCAGGATAGCCTCTGCATATCAGTTACTGAGCCCTAAGAAAAAGGCCGAAAGTGGAACCTAAAAGAGTTAATTCCATGAAAAACACTATGAGACCCTGGGGTACAAGAAGACCTTGCTTTGGTGCACATAATACACACTCAAGAACTATTTGTTACCTGGTTTAATGTAAGGTGACAAAGTGTAACATCACTGGTAGGGAGGGAGGAGAGCATTTTCTCCACTTGTGCATAGGATATGCTGCCACTAGGGAACACTGACAACTCCAGAGCACCATCACCATGGTGATATCTCTAGGCCAGCAGAAGGGAGCACCTAACAACAATATCACAGCTGGCAATGGTGGAGACTGTCAGGAGATGCATGGCGATGGAGGCAGTGGATGGATATCTTTTCTAGCAGCACCTATCACAGGGGAGGGTCATAGCCAGGAAGGAATAAAATGATGGATAACATGTGGTAGCAGGCAGATCTTGTTCTTGAGCCCATGCAAGATGATCTTTGGGGCTTCCTGGAAACCATGGGGGGGGGAGTAGTGTTTGGAGACTATGGGGAGGAAAAGATCCTGCAATAGGATATGAGAGCAAAAGCCAATAAACATGAGCTACATTTCAGAGACCAAATTGATAGGACTTGGTGAAATTTGGATGTGGGTAATAATGGAAAGGGAAGAGTACTGCAAGATGTAGCCAAAGTTTCTGATTTTGAGTTATCTGCAGTTCCCCCAGTGGAGGTGGAGCAATATTGGGATTTATAACCCACCATTCCAGAAGAGGAAACCCTGGTGGCACAGTGGTTAAGAGCTACAGCTGCTAACCAAAAGATCAGCAGTTCAAATCTACCAGGTGCTCCTTGGAAACTCTATGAGGCAGTTCTACTCTGTCCTATAGGGTCGCTATGAGTTGAAATCAACTCGATGGCAATGGGTTTTTTAATTTCAGAAGAGAGTATGCTGGGTCTAAAGGGGGACCAAGCTAACAGAGATGAGGGGAACTAGATCAAGGTAAGGTGTTGACCACCAAAGGCCAAGATTGTGTCCAGGTTGTGGGTCAAGAATTATTGTGTTCTAGGGATAGCAGCATGCACCTTACACAATAGGTTAACTCTCCTTTCCCCATCATCTTCAATCTTTTCTATAGGGTCCTTCTCCTCAGTATTCAGGCATGGCCATGTATCTCCCATATTTGAGACAGTAACTCTCCTTCTCCAGGTCTGTGGGATTTTAGTTTGGATCAACATGTGTGACAGAATTCTTACCCTGTTACCTATACAAAATTGCCACTGAGCAGCAGACCAAAATTGAGGATCCCCTTAAAACCCAAGTCAAGAGCCTCTGTCCCCAATCTCTTAAAAGTCTTGGCTTAAAGGGAGACCAGAAACCAATGGTCAATTTCAGCGCAACTCCATCCATGAACACCCATGGTCATAAATGAGTGATTTACTATGCACCAGGCATTATTTTAATCACTTTACATGCACTGACTAATTCAAATCTCACAACAAGACTGCAGGCAAAGGGGAATGGTACTACTATTATCCCCATTTTATAGGTAGGGAGACTGACAAACACAGCTGGTAAGTGCAGAGCTGGGATTAAAAACCCAGGTAGTCCAACTCCGAAGTTCACACTCTTAACTCCTGTGCTATAGTGAGAGGGATGTCAGGCTGAGTGTGAAACAGCCAGGACTACCCATCACCTGCTACCCAATGCAAGGGCAGTATTTGAAAAGAGCCAACCACTCACACAACATTATTGCAGATGATTTTTCAAAATTCACTTTATTAATTTAAAAATCCAGTAATACAGTGACTACATAAATAAGTACCATACGTAGGTACATGTCCTGTGAGAAGAGTGAAAGGGTAATATTATGTTACTCTTACTTGCTTACATGAGTTAACTATAAAATGGCTACAGCTGCTAAATGGTGCTTATGTTACAAATAAATACACAAGAAGAACCACATCCATTTTTCTCTACAAACTACAGGCAGCTTGGCCTCTTTTCCCTATATCCTACTCCCTACACAATACAAAACACTGGGTGGGGGATGGTTCTGCATTGACTTAACATAGCTTCCCAGCTCCAGCTTCACGAAGCACTTTGTAAAGGTGTGTCCCAGGACCTGGAGGCAGCAGTCTATCTAGGGAAGCTCTCTGGGTGTTCCTTTAAGTTTGAGCTTTTACAGAACACCTGGGTGGGAAGGCTTTGGGGTGAGTCATCTTGAAGGGGAATCACGGCTTCCCTTCAGGATCTGGTTACTAGTCTTCATACCATGGAAATACTGCCACCTCTGGGTGGGGAGGCAGCAGCTGCTTAACCCGCCCCCCCCCCCTCCAAATAATGCTCTGTGGCCTTTCAACCCAGGATGGTCTACCTCCTTCATCAGAGGAGAATGTGTGTGATGGGCTAGGGAGAGACTAGTCCAGGGAGAGACTACTCCCACGAAGTCCTGGCCACAAGGCCCTTGTGTTTCTTCATGAGAACAGACTCCTTTTTGCCAGGCTGCCGTAAATACTGGACCTTTTATGATTTTCCCTGTTGGTGTAAAATACTCTAAGAAAAAGTTCTTCTCATCTATGGTCACAGGGCAAGGAATATGGAATTTTGGGGTCCTTAGTATGTCTAAATACTCACTAGAGTTCGTTCGTGTCTCTCAGAGGAAACAAACCTAGAAGGCAGCCTTGAGATTCTTGCTGCGGAGAATTTGTAGTTTTTTTCCACAAAGATGATTTTTAAAGCCAGACTTCAGAGTGGATGCTTTATACTCTGGTATTGGACTGCAAGTAGATATTTTAGGAACCACCTTCTCTAGGATCCTTGATTCGAACCCATGCTTGGTCATTTAGGGGTGGATGATGGAAGGTTTAGGATAAAGATCTTTAACAGAATTTCTAGCTCCTCAAATGAACAATAACTCTCCTAACTGATGATCCAACACTAAGAAGCTCGTGAGAACCAAGCCACTTGGCAAAGTGAAAATCAACCCCTGTACTTGTGGAAGGGGAACGACCCCTTTAAGGAGCTTCTAGAATTTAACAATTCAACATAAATTTTGTAGCCACAGAATGATGCCTCAGGAAAAATTAGTTACTACTGAGCTATTAATTGGTGAGTTGAAAAAAAAAGTGATGATGGTCTCGTTGACTTTTATTCACTCCTTTCACTAAATAATTATTTAGTTTTATATGAATTCATTTTTTGAAAATCTTCACCCACGTCTAACTTCTTTATGGAGTCCCCATAGGTTTAGGGAGAAAAGAGAAGTGGTATTATTAGGGAAAAGTTATTTACCACTTCAACATGAAGATGGCTCTGAAATGGTGTTCTTCTCCATCGTGCCATCACAGTTGGTGATTTCAACAACCACACCAAAGACTCAAAGGCAGAACCTTCTGCTCACAATTCCTTATTCATTTTCTTGGGTGTCAACAACCTCCAAGCTACTTGGGAGCCAGGCAAGAGAAAGAAGGGTAAAGTCTAGTCTGGCCTTGCCTCAGAATGATGCAGTTTAATGTATGTGTGTGTTAGGATGGGGGGTTAATTTTTTTTAAAAACATAAGACATTCAAAAAGTATAATTTCATACAAATAATTACTCTGTACTGCAGAGCTCCTACTAAGCAAGTCCCTTCTCTATTTCTCATTCGAATAACTTTCTAGATTGAAACCCCAGGGTTTTGTTTGATCTTTAACCTGTAAAGAAATGTGATTCTCCAAGAAACTAGAGCAGTGCTGTGGTGTTCTATCCCTTTTCCTCCCACAAAGAATTCAAGACTCTTCTAGTCTCTTCGGAGGAGATGTTTAAGGGCTGACACACTACTCCACATAAAGGAGCAAGTTATGCTGTGCATGGCGTGAATAATTGACTGCATTTGAGTTTGGGATTTTAGGGCACTGTTGACTTAAGCAAAGTAAGCCTGCAGTCCAGCTGCAGCTTGAGTTTTCTTGCTTTACCCTATCCAACACTTTCTGTCTAGTCTAACAGTGGCCCTTTTCAGACCTCTCCAGGTACAAAACTTTGACCAAATCTTCAAGCTCTGTTCTGCACACACGACTTGAACACATCTGGCTGATCTGAGCTTCACCTTCTGTGAATATCTTCCACTGGCCTGAAAGACAAACACAAAGTGACCAGGAGAGCGTAAAAAGACAGCAGAGCAAATCAAGAGTAAAACCAATATACCCCATCCTTACCCACTCACTCATGGACCCACCAGGGAATCTGGAACACAAATGTCAGATGGTTTCAGGAAAGGAAAAGAAAAAAGAAAAAAAAAAACCTGTCTGGAGCAGATAAGGAAAGTGGGCCATGGAGTTTTCATTTCAACACATAGCATTAGTAAGAATCCCAAGAATAATATGTAACTGCTTTCTCAAGAGTAAAATCTAAGCATTATGCCTGGAAACTTTACAGTATATTTACCCGTTGCCATTGAGTCCACTCTGACTCTAGTAACCCTATAGGACAGAGGAGAACTGCCCCATAGTGTTTCCAAGGAGTGCCAAGGATTTGAACTGCAGACCTTTTGGTTAGCACCCGTAGCACTTAATCACCGTGCCACCAGGGTTTCCTACAGTATATTTAGCATTTAAAAATGCTCCACCATCAGTTTGTTGGTTATTCAGGCAGCTCATCTGGCAATAGGTCTAACAAGGCACTTTGGAAAACAGTACCTGGTGCAATACTGGGGCTTTGCTAACCTTTAGGACCCCCAAATATTGGTTTGGGTTACTTGATTATGTACTGCTCTTTTCTCTATTCCTGCCACCCTTCATTAAAAAAAAAAACTGCTCACCTCTGCTTTCTCCTATATCCACATACTGTTCTTTAGCACCCCTAAGTTCCTCCCGTGGCTCTATATATTGATCCATTCTCATATCCCCCATATGATCTGTTTCTATGCTGAGTAAACCCAGCTGTATCCCTTCCATTCCCTGTTATTTCTGGTTGTATCCCCTTCCGTTTCTGTTTTCTCCACTCCCGCCATGGAACTGTCCAATTACCAAAGTTTCCTTACCAACTTCTCTATTTTCCAATTTTGTCATGTTAATTGAGCAAACTTTTATTCTTTCCCTCATGAGCTAATAATACTTTTGTTTTTTTAAATATTTTATTGTACTTCAGGTGAAGGCTTACAGAACAGATAGTTTCTCATGTAACAGTAACACACATGCTGTTTTATGACATTGGTTA